AAAGAGCTTCAGTCTGGGAAGCAGTCAGATTTGCTTTTTAAATGATCCTCTCTGGCTGCAGAGTGAAAAGAAAGCACTGGAGGCCAGTGGCCGCAGCTTCCAGGCGAGAGGGGCCCCCAGAGTGAACCAGGGTAGGGCAGAGAGGATAAGGAGGGTGACGAGGATTGCAGATATTTTGAAGAACTAGACTACAGGACCTGATGACTTTTGGATTTGGGGAGCATGTTGGAAAGCCCGGTTCTGAAGTTGGGACTGACAGGGTCAGTACACTAGCTCTGCCATCTAGCTGTTTGAACTTGAATGAGTCACTCAACCTCTCTGTCTCAGTTTCTTCATCTGTAAAATGGAAATAAAAATAACACCTCCCTCATGGAAATGTTTGAGGTGTACATGAAATATGCATATGCAGAGCGTCTGGCACAGTGTCCAGTGTCTACTGAACAGTAAGTATCAGTTATTATCTGTGTTTCCGCTGTCACTGCAAGGAGTCAAAAATGATCTATGTCTGGTTTCAGCCATGGGGTCCACACAGCAGCTCCACTCTCTGAGAGAAGGGATGGAGGAGGAAAGGCAGCTTCGGGGAGGAAGGTAACTCTGGATTTTAGACATGCTGAGTTTTCAGGTGTCTACAGGGGACAACGAGGTAGAGGGTACGTGCAGGTCAGCGGCCGAGGTGAAGGAACCCGGCATCTAAGCTGGATGGGGCAGGAAGTGAAGAGGGGCTGACAGATGAGCAGGAAGTGGAGAGCTTAGGAAACTTTCCAGGTTTGTGGAGTCCTCTGTAGAACAAAGATCTGAGCAAGGCCAGAATGTCAGCGTGTGCTACAGAGTCTGACCTGTGCCATACTGTCAACAGCGAGGCCTGCCTTTGACTCAGTGCTCGCTGTCCAGCAGACACACCATGGGAGCCACCCATGGAACTTAAAATTTTCCACTTGCCACCACATTAAAAAGAACAAAAAGAAACAGGTAAATTGATTTTAGTAACATATTTTATTTGACCCAAGATATCCAAAATGTTAATTAATGTAATGAACGTTAAAAAATAGTAACAGTTTACTTTTTTTTCATACTAAATCCTTTCAAATTCTGGTATATATTTTACACTTCAATTAACTCTGACTAGCACATTTCACAGCACAGCTACAGAACGTTAATGTTTTCTCTGCAATATGGTATCTCCATAGCACACAACATCCCTGGCTTTCTGGAACAGTCGCGAAGGTTCAGCCTCACTGTCCCATCAGTCCTTTTCTTGTCAGAGGCTCTGTCCTGACTTGGGCTTCAAAAAGCAGCCATTCTAAGCCCTCTCCTTGCTTCCCGCCCGCCTCCATGGTTTTATCTCGCTACTCGGTTTGGTCACTTCACGGTCTATCTTCATAAAATGTAACTACAAACTCAGCAAAGGCTCCTGGCAGGCGTCAGTTTCTAAGAACAATCCTAATCTCAAACCACATAAGCCCTTATCAGTCCTTAAGTAAAAGGTGCCCTCCCAAGTCCTCCACTGAGGCCCTAACTGAACACAGCGGGAAGGATGTGCACCTTCCGCATCTGACCAGGAGCCTGCCTGGGGGAGCCCCTGGTCAAGTGCGCAAAGCAAGCTCCTCTGCACTGAGGCCACCACACAAAGAACTCACGCCTGAGACCCAACTTCGTGCACAGGGCTCCCTGCCTCTGACTTACTGGGGTGCTCGGGGTCCTCAGCAGCCCCTTCCATCTGCCAGGCGCAGCAAGATGGCTCTGACCAATTACTTCTTATCCCTTCAGGCCACAGGGGGCTCCTCAGTGAGCTCCTCCATCTTTTAAGACTCTGTGACTAAGGTGATAAGATGAAGAATTATCAGTAAAAAAAAAAGAGGCTGGAGAGCAGCTCTGCAGGCCAGAGCTGGAGGAAGATATCTGCAAACTACACAAAGTGAGACAGGGAAGGCGGAAAAGGGGGAGGGGGGCTTCGAGGACTGCAGTTCTTTAAAAGAGAAATAGAAATACTACCAAAACTGTCCTCAGCAGGTATCTATAAGCATTTCAAATGGTAGACCACGTTTTCAAAGTTTCTGATACAAATCACTTCAGCAAAGTTTCCTGGTCACACAGTCCAGATGACATACTCAGCAAACTGCTGAACACCGATGAATGTATTTTTATTCAAATGGATAGCTGAATTTTTGAAAAAGGATTTCTGTATTTACGTTTCTAAAAATTAACACTGGAATTCCTTCTCTTTAACTCAGCTTTTTTGGTCTCTTGATTAAAAAATACACACACACATCGTGCTTTTTATTTCCATCAGTTTACAGAGGTGTATTAACATCTGCGGCTGCTCTTACAATGATACGTTACAAATGAATGATGACCCCCCACCACTTCCTCTCAATCTTACAAATGCCAACATCCAGAGTGCCTTCAATATATTAATGACTTTTGAGGAAATCATACATCCTAATAAGGAGCTTTCATCAGATTTCCTTATTATACACCATATATATTTAGTATCTGTTTAAAAACTGGAAAAAAATTAGTGAACCAACCCCAGATTTATTTCCTCAAATTATATGTACCTAGTTATTCAATACAGCAGATATAAATAGCTCCCCTCCTTAAAATAAAAGGAGGTACAGCCTATGCCTTGTTTAATGCTAGCATATCTTAGCACACTAACACGGCAAGACATGTGGGAACGGGCTAGGAGGGTACAGGGCTGGCTGGGCTGGGCTGGGCTGGGCTACCCAATGTGGCTGAGCACATGTGGGCACCAGGAAAGCCTGACACCAAAAACACCTTCAGAAACAACGTGGATTTCCTTCCACTGACTTTGACTTACATGTGGGAATGATGGAAATACCCCGCAGTGCTCAGGGTCTCTAAATTCAGGCCACAGTCTGGACTTGGTTGTACTGTCATTTATTCCTTCTTCTAAGGCACCCTGCTCTGTGCCACACACATGCTGAGAACTAGACACAAAAAGTTGAATCAGACACAGTCCCTTTCACAAGAGCTCACAATCCAGTGAGCGCTCCTAGTCTCAAATTTTTCTTTAAAAAGAGGAAAAGATCTTTGAAAGATCCTTGAAAATATGCACACAACTTACTAAGCAACGAGATAATTCTCTTTATGCCTCAGTGACACCAAGAATCCCCCTAAGACAGTGAGGGGTAAAATGTTCCCACTTTAAGTGCCTCCTCCATGGCACCAACCTGCCCTAAATCACAAATCACTCACTAGGACTATCCTGTCTAAAGCAATGGGTTTGTAGTAAAGAGCCTGGGATTCACCCGTTTGAACGGTTGCACCTGATAACCTCACAGGTCCTCTTTCCAAGCCCTCATCACAGCTACTTTTTATATCTGGTCATACACGATCTGTTCATTGTTTCTCCCCGACAAAACTGCAAGCCCCAACAGGAGCAGAACCATGTGTCCTTCCGCTCACCAATGTAAACCAACCGATAGCACACAATGAGGCACAATAAATATTAAAGAAACAAACACTTGGAAAAATCTCAAAACCTTTTATATGTTACAAGGCCCTTGCATTAAACATTTCTCCATTCATGGCTAAAAATGAAAACCTGTTTATCTGGATTTTGTTTCTAAAAATATTCATTTTGATTTCTTTAAAAAGTTACTCAATTATGATTCAGTTGGGTTATGAGCTAGTTTCTCAAAGCTTCTACAGTGTACAGATCACTGATCTTGGTCAGTGTTGACTGTCCTGAAAAGAGTTTAGTAACTTCCTGCCTGCCACCCAGGAAGGCAAAGGCATGAGACAAATCTGAAAGATACAGATTGTTTTGTGTCACATTAAAACTACCGTTGACTGCTTAATAAACTTACCTAAAGCAAATAATGTTTTTTAGGTAAGTGTAAGTGCAAGTGCATATTACAAAATAAGTCTATTTGGGGCTAGAATTAATTTTACAAAGAATGACTCAGGTCATTTTGAGAATGCTGGCAAAGCGAAAGTAGAACAGACGCAAAGATTGTAAGAAGGAGGTACTGCTTCACTGGTATAATATGTCAAGCTGAGAAAACAAAGATTAAGATAGTTCTGTGAACGGATTCCCAGCTGACCCGAAAGCCTTGGCAATGCTACTGGGAGACGCGCTCCGTCCGGCACTTGCCGGGAGAACGCCGGGGGGAAGCCATCCCGTCCCTCCTCGCCGTTTCCAGTGGCCCAGGGCCTCTGCCGCTCCCGCCATGTCCCCCCGGTGGCCCCGGGCCCTCGCGCTCGGTAAGGCGTGCCGGCGACAGAGGGAAGAGGACGGGAGGACCCACCTGTCAGTCTCCAGCGCTCGGGGTGCGCCAGCCTTAAGAGCTTCCGGGCCTCCGAGCGCCGGGCCGCCGCGGGCCGCAGCAGCGGGTCGCGGCCGGGGGTCGCCGCGGCCGCAGGCACC